CAGTGGCACCACGTAGCCGCCTCCTTTCACCGCTCGTTTTATCCCCGCCCCTTCTCGGGCCAACCCCGAGCACCGCCGACCCCGAGCGCCGCTGCGGAGTAGGTAGAGGGTGGGAGGGTGGAGGACCGCAGGCGAGAAGGAGAAGGAAAGGGCGCCCGGGGAGCAGCCTGGCAGAGTGACTGGGATTGATGAGCGGCCGCAGCTCTGGAGGGACGCGGGCGAGAGAGTCGCTCCTCGGGGAGAGGGCTGGGTGAGTGAGGACCTGCGAGCCACGCCCCACATCCCTTCCGGGGTAGCCACACTCGCGCCCCCTCCTCCACAACAGGCTTCTGCGGCTAGAGAAGATGCGGTGCCACTGGACAGGGAAGGAAAGTAGTCGTGGACTTCGCTTAATAGAAAAGGGAGTAGTTGGGGAAGGTGGAGAAAAGAGCCACGGGAAGTGGGAGGAAAGGATGAAGGGATGGGACGTTGCAAAGAAAAGCTTCCTTAATCCGTGTGACTCTAACCCAGCCTCCCCACCTACCGGAGAAATGGGTTTTATCCTAGAAATGGGGAGGAGGAAAAAGAGATGGCCCAAAGGAGTCCTGGCCCGGCATACAATCCTCGCCCTAGGGTCTATTGCAACCACACAAACCCGAACAGCGCACGCTCCCCCCTACCCCGACAGAATAGTTCCTAAGAAATCTGCCTGCCTCCTAACTCTAGGAAAGAATCCACAACGGATTCCAGGGAGCTCTTCTGGGGAATCTGAATTGGATTTTTGGATCACGAACCATTAAGCTTTTGAACTCTGGGGAAGAATAGAACGGGTGGCTGGAAACTGTTTTGGAACCCTACCTGAGCAGATGTGCTCATTAGTTGCTTGTTCGCCCTCCTCCTGGAGCACTTTCATAGGTGTTGGCAAAGCAGGTACCGGTATTTCATGGAAGGAGAAGAACCGCCCAGGACTGTGTGTAATTGTCTATGGGAATATTTTTAAGGATTCAAAAGGCTAGAAGGAGGTGAGATCAAAAAATTTTTCCAGCACCACCCAGTGCAACCCGGTCCTGGACACAGAAATCTAAAACGCTCCCCAGATGATACTTAAATACTTGAGTTTGAGAGCCTCTAGTTATAAGGTTTCCCTACGTAACAGCCTCTCACTGTTCTCGAAAACTGGCTAGTTGACAACCGGCAGTCAAGTTTTGTCTAGTCAAGAAGCTACTTTTTCCTGCAATAAAGCACACTTAGAGATAGTCCTGGGCTTCAGCAGGATTGAGGCTATAGTAAGGTCACAAGTATGAACCAGGTACCCACAGAGATGGGAGGACCAGGAGATCCTACTCATTCAGTACCTCAGAAACTATGACACGGGATAACAGTGACTTCAGCCTTTTGGATGAAATAATCCTCTCTCCCTCAAAAGTGCTCTCCACCCACTCGAAACACAGGCCATACTACCACCAATCTGGTAGACTTCAAAAGTAAGGTCTTTCAGCAGCAGATTTCCTCGTTCACAGGAAGGCACTGACAAGCTTTACCTAAGCCTATTGGAGCTATGTTGTAATTCTGTATATAAATAGAACAGTCGCTGCAGGAATACTGGATGAGTCAGAAGAAAGGTCTGTCCTAAGCTGATGTGACACATTTCAAAAGGACCAGAAATTAGATGGAATTGATGACTGAGTTGATCTCTAAGTGGATTTATCTTTGAAATAAAAATCGCTGGATATCCCATGTACCTCACCCCACACCCTCCCCCATTGTCAACATCCCCAACCAAAGTAGCACATTTGCTACAAATAGTGAACCTACATTGACAGATCATTATCACCTAAAGTCCATAGTTTACATTAGGGTTCACTCTTGGGGCTGTATATTCTATAGGGTTGGACAAATGTAGAATAACATGTACCCACCCTTATAGTATCACAGAGTATTTTCACTGCCCTAAAAGTCCTCTGTCCACCACCTATTCATCCCTTCCTCCCCCCAGTCTCTGGCAACCAGTGATGTTTACTGTCCCCCTGTCTCTGTAGTTTTGTCTTTTCCGGAATGCCATATATAAGGAATCATACAGTATGCAGTCCTTCTTTCAATTTTGCTGTGAAACTCAAACTGCTAAGAAAATAAAGTCTTAAAGAGAAAAATCAATGGAGAAGGGAAAGGTAAGATAACTAATCGGTAATTTGGAGGGGTGTGGAAAAACTAATTGAATTATCTAATTTCGTATATCCAAAATAAGTTTTAGGAGGATTAAGGAGTTAAATATATTTTAAAGCAGACCAGAAGAAAAAATATTTGTCAAACCTCTGAATAGAAGTACTTCTCAACTTAGAGGCAATAGAAGGAAATAATCAATGAATATGATTGGGTAATATCTTAAACACTTCTACATGTCCAACTTTTTTTAGTGTAAGCTAAACCAGAAAAAAATATTGGCAGCAAACATGAAAAATAAAAACTTGAATATCTATATTATAAGTAGGGCTCATAGAGCTAAAGTAAAATTTAGAATCACAGTGATTGAGTATAAACAGAAAACAAACCATATAAGAAGAAATCAAAATCATATATGGGGAAATTAGTAATCAAAGAAGTATACGTTAAAACTAATAAAGATACAAAAATAATGAGCGCTGGTTAGCACATATATTGTTGGTGTCTTTATGAAACAGTATGTCCATTTGGAAAGCATTTTGGCTGTCTACAGCAGGTCAGAGTGCTCCTACATTTTGACTCAGCAGTCCCTCTTCCGGGAATCTACCCAAAGAAATACCCCAGCGATGGAAAAAGTTATATACTGCAAGATGTATATCATAGCATTATTTATATTGAAGACTTGGCCAGAAATTAAAGATCAGAGAGTAGGGGTGATATCCAATTCCTTGTAGTTACTTGGACCACAGTGTTTCTTCACATTCTGTGCCTCTGCACATGTCATTTGGAGTTTCTGCCTGGGGCATTCTCCTTGTCTCTTGTCTGTGAGCTGATTCCTCTTACTCTTTACTACTTGTGTTCAGTGTCTGGGAGGCTCCTTCTTTATTCCCTCAATACCCGCTGTGTTCTTCCATCCTGGCACTTAAAGGCTGCCTGTAAGAACTTGTTTACCTACCTGTCTCCTCAATCTGCTGTGACTCCTTCTAGGGTGTGACTTAACTCTTGGTAATCTTAGAATCACCAGAGCTCTGCATATATGGCAGGTGGTTGATAAATATTTATTAAAGGAATGAATGAGTCATTTGCTCATACTTTTTACAGCTCTTGAAGATACTACTTATAGAGGATGTGGCATATATGAATACATTATAATGTTAAATTTATTTT